TTCCGTTTCGCGCCTGTGCGAAACATTTAATTGCTAAATTACTTTAAATTTAAAACTTTCGAAGTCAATCCTTGCACCATGAAAAAGTTAATAAATAGCTATATTTTGGGCCTTTCAGCACAATAAAAAACTGTAAATATTGTATGTATCGGTATTTAATAAAAGTTGGCGTTAAATTGTAATTTTTCAACAAAGATATGAACACAATATATTATATGGGACCGAGCGGTAGGCCACATCAGCCAATGCTCATTATCCTAAGTTAGCCTTTAGTTTACAACCAACCGCTAGCTTTATATAAATAAATAAATATGGGATATTTATTTTATACGATTTTAAACAGATTGGAGTTTCTTTAAAATACAAATATTATTTGAGTATAATAGATCGATTATGGATAATCCAACAACAAATCCTTGTAAGCCATAGTTATCTTCCCATCTTGTTTATTTAATTTTTATTTTTGCCTACCTTAATTTTCCATGTTGGTAATTTTTCCAGAGGTCTTAGACATAATTCAATTCAATAATTCAAAATGAACCACAGCGATTATAAGGTAGGGAAATGGAGGGTCTCGATACAACACTTTTTTTCAGACCATAGGAATGTGTTCTTTGAAATCTCGATGCCGACACAAGGGACAGCACCAAAACTCAACCCCCGCAACAATAACTTACTTAATCGGAGAATACACACCCACAATGATGAAGCAAAGAGCTAATAAGCGAACTGAGAAAAAATGTTTGGAAGGCCTTTAATACTACGTACAAGGACCGACAGAAGGAATACAAGTACAAAAATCAGGGTCTGGGCAAAATTATACCAGCAATGCTACAGACAACAAAACATGCATGTTTAGGTTACAAACTAACTTCCAAACATGTATATACCACACATACCATTTGCGTGAAAAGAAACAAGAGTAGTTGTCATACCCAAGATTACAGGCCGCTTAGTCTGCACGCGGATACTAAATATACTACTGGGTCGGAGCAATGCTAACGATAGCTGAACAAATTACAAGGGTGCTCACTAAACACAAATCATGGGCCAAAGCCTGCGGATTGGGCATTAACTCAGATATAATGGAGCTTATGCTCTTCACAAGAAGAAGAACAAAGATCTCCAAATAGAAAAATTCTCAGAAGGTATAGAACTACAACTATCGCAAGAAGCAAAGTATTTGAGAGTGGTACTAGATGCGAAGCTGTCATGTAAAAAAAACAACAACGAAAGAGTCAATAAATCAAACATATTCTTCAACTCCTGTAGGAAGATGTCTGAAAAAACTGGGGCATCCAACTAAAGACAATACATGGCTCGGCTCTACAAAGTAGTAGCACTAGTATGGTGGTTGGCATTGACTAAGGCATAGAATACCAATAAACTTACAAAGATTCAGAAATCGGCTTGCGGATGTGCCACTGGTGCACTAAGATTATGGTCCGGGGTAGCATTGAATGTCATTCTATATATAATCCCAATAGAACATTTCATCAGCAACACTGACTGTATGACACCCGATTGCGATTCGGCAATACATATACCACGATGCACCCAACAAGTCAAGAATGGAGAAGAGAGAGTGCACCCAAGCCAGATGACTTTACACCAAAGGCTCGAGGATGAGCTGCGGGGTGTGGGCCGAAATCTTTCGTCAGAACTGGAGAGTCCTTCCACTTTTCCAGGTGGAGGTTCTGCCAATACTGAAACATGTTGAACTCTCATCAAATCGACACCTTCGAAATACCAAGGTTCTCTTATAGCCTTGCGGACATCAAATATATCGCAACGGTAAGCACTACATCAACACTAGCGGCCAACTGCAAAGAGGCCCTAAATGGACCAGCAGAGGAAAACAGGTCTCGGATAGCTTGGGTAATCGGACGACATCCCATGAAACGAGAAAGCTGAAGCTGGCAAGGAGAGGGTGAAAGGAAAGGAAAATACAGACACTCTTGACTCTCTGAACTCAGTACAGACGGAAATTTACGATCATTTCAAATACTATCCCGCAAGGAGTAGTCAAGAAACTATGCTGGCCAAATTAAAAAAAGAGACGGACTGCCGAGCTGATCGCCAAAAAGTAAGAAAACCATCAGAAGATAACGGTAGCCACTGGCCAATAGGCAAGCACGCCTACAAGTTGGGCCTTTCTTACAATCCACACTGTAGAAGTGTCATTGCTGGATTTGTTTATTTGAATTCGTTTTGCCCGCAGGCTATAAACGCAAAGAACAAAAATGAGAAGCTTATAATCAAGATGATAAAGGCCTATTCAATGCATATTTTCGAAGCAGATGTCACTGAAAGTTGATCGACCTAAAGTTGGTGTATTTTACATCTCAAATGATATAAATTCCGCACGTCGTGCTTTCAGTTACCCACATAAATTTTCACAGCAGAAATGGACGATGATGAGCTTCAAGATAAAAGTGTTAAAAATAATAATTGTAAAAAAAAAATACAGTGAACCAAAATAGAAAAACTTCGAATTTTTGTAATAACGCTTCACTGTATTATTTTGATATTATCATGTTTTTAATTTTCGGGGGAAAGAAATATTCCGATAGACCGATAGGCTGACCATTTTCCTTTAAATATATTAATATCCTTGCAGGGTATTAAATTTTCAGTCTCTTTCTTGCCGCCGAACGAGATAGAAAGCCAAAATAAAAAGGAAGATTGAGGCGTGGAAGAGGTTAAATTTAGAGGTCAATTTTAGAAATGGCAAGGGTCCAAAATCTCAATTTCATCACATGCTGAAATCAACATCCGGCCGTGAAGAACGGCAACAACAACGGTGCGAAGTGCTTTAACTGCTGGCAGCTAGAGTTTCTCAAAAGTAGTGCCTGATTTTGATGGAGTATCAATTCCAATAAAGCACTGATTGAACTGTTACAATCATCAACAACTGCGTTTCGTGTTTAATCGATATTGGTGCTTATGCGATTCAAGAATACAAAAATAATCCATTGCAGAAAAGTTAATCGTACGGCCTTGAAAATATCGGCCAGCTAAGGTATAAAAATGGAGAACCAAATTTATTTCTTTCACGAATAATTAACGGCAAATTCTAGCTAAAAGAGATTTTGGAAATGTGAAGGATTTCTGGGTTTGTTCTGCTAACTTGATATCAACTTATAAGGGCAACTTTGTGTTTAAAAAAATTTATATAAAAAAATTGAGAGACAAATTTAGTTCTTTCACAAATAAATACAAGAGAATTATGAGCAAACAAATTTATGGAAATATAAAAGTTTTCAGGAGTTGTCCTGATAACTTGATATAAACATAGGACATCAAAAAATTACGGTAAGAAATTGAACGGCAGTTTTTTCTTCCACGAAAATTTAACGGAAAATTATGGAAAATTTGATTGTCTTTCTTTGTTATAAATTCCTAAATGCTGAGCCGGCATGTCTGCATGCGCGGCCGATCCTTCGGTTACCATGTAAGCATAACACTCTATCTCTCTTGCGCGGCCGCTGCGCGCGCCGCCTGCTCGGGCAGCTATGTGAATTGTAAGCCAAGCCAATAGATTCTTAAGTCAAGCAGGGCATTCATGAAATGAGCCCGGACTAGAATGGATCAATAAATAGCCACTAGTGCACTAACAAATAAATTAAACTTTTTTTGAACTTATTACACAACGTTTCACATTAACCATTTAGGTTCGTTGGACTTGACGTCGAAAAATTATAAGTATATTTTCTCTAAATACAGCTGAATATTCCCAACGAAGTAGAAAAACGCCTAATAAGGTTTTGGAATCATCGATTTTATTTTGGTAGTCCTCAAAGAATGATCAGCGATAAAGGAGCTGCCTTTACACCACATTCATTTAGTGAATTTTGCAGTAACAACAAGCTGAGCAAATCGGCATTTCAGCAGATGTACCAAGGGGCAATGGCTAAAACGAACGGGTCAACAAAGTTATTAATTCCATACTCTTGCTGACTTTAGCAACGGAACCAGCAAAATGGTATAAGTACAAGTGCGGCACACTATAAACACAAATGTCTTCGCATCGATTAGTTATACGCATTTCGAAGTAATGTTTTGCTAAAGAAAGAGAAATAACGCCAATCCTGAGCTCTTGAAGGTCCTACAAGATGAGATGCTGTTAAACCTATAAGACGAACGCATATGAACTTGGCAAGAAACTAGGCTCCATATAGGAAAAGCTTAAGACACCTTTAAGAAAAAATTTTATAAAAAAAGAAAGGGACATCATGGTTTCCAGTTAGGTTATCTAGTAGCTATTAAAGGAACGCAGTTCATCGCCACATGGCCACTTATACATCGAAAACAGCCGATACGATTTTAAGGGGGCAGCAGAATTTGAGGGTCCACTACAAACATCAACAAGAGCTGATTTTATGATTACTACAAAGAAAATGACGAGGTAAGTGCAGAGGAGGATGATGCATCTAGAACAGCAGGACGGCCGAAAGAAGGGTGGTGTTATGGGCACCAGATGGCAGAATAGGCGAATGGAGTGGTGTCTTAAAGAGTCGGTCGAGAAGGTTCAGCACTAAGAAGTATAAACCGTCAAAATAAAGTTAAAAAGTAAAAAATTCAGTCGAACAGTTTTTGCCTATTATAATCAATTCTTTAACCTATAAGCTTATTTAATAAAACAGAGTTAATATCAAATTATCTTACATACATATACTTTTTTACATCTAATGCTTTTTGAGTAAGCGCTATAAGTTTATTAAGCTTTGATTTGTTAAAAATAAATGTCATATACAAATATAGATTTATTTTTTAAATTTCTGGTCTTCTAAAGCCAAATGTCATATAATTTCCGATGCAGAATTAAAATTCGAATTAATTACACACATATTTAATTTCTTTTTTGGCTAAGTTATATATAAAAAGTTAATGAAAGGAAGGTGAAAGATTATAAAAGCGCGATGAATATTGGGGAGTTCGAAAATCATAAAAGTTTTATTTTTGTCCAAAGCTTCGGTTGAATAGTACTGTACATTTACCTGTCGCTTTGGGTCTGAGACTCCTTCCATTTACTATTGGTAACTCGTTCTTCACGATGCTCATCTGGAAAGAAAAGTTTATATCATTAGTGGCGACAGTTTTTTTAATGCCCTTGATCGGAACATTTTTAGAAGAAAATGATACCCTTTTTCAGTTTCCAGGAGATTTTTATTTGCATTAAGATAAAGTCATTTTGTATTATTCCAGATTTTTAGACCTTTATTTTATGAACACCGGACTACTATATCAAATAAGACATATCAAAAATCGAATAATAATATTAAAAAAATAAAACCTTGGCGTTTTTCAAATTATTTTTATTTTCTTCTTGTTATCTCTTCCTTAAAATTTCAGAAATTCGGGTTAATTTTCAGAAAATTAGGAGACTATCATAACAAGCACTCCGATTTAATTTTAATAAATTTGTTTGCATAAATAAATCCGTATTTAGTATAATAGCAAATTTTGACCTCTAAACTATAAAATTTATTTTTTTTAAGTATTATTTTCACTAGGTAATTTAAGGCCCTGTTTTAGCATTATTTAATAAATGTTACTTTCTTTTAATTTTTCCAATATTATTTAGTAAAATTGTCTACCACGCTTTTTTAACTGCTTCAATTAAAGCCCCAAAGTCTCTAAATTGTCTTCCCCCTTCGTATACTTTCGTCGACAAAAGTTTCAAAATGTTCTCCATAATGTTTATGTTAGGGGAGTAAGGCGGCCATTTGACATTTTGGTCTTTAATCCACTGCTTTACAATCCGAGCGGTATAGATCGGAGCATTGTCGTGTTGGTAAGTTCATGGAATTCTACCATACGTCTCAGAAAACTGGGGCACACCCTTTTCGAGCACACTATTGTACATATGGCTTACCATAACATTACTCCACCTGCACAGGCGTGACGACGACTTTGAAAACACTCTTCCCTTCGAAATATCGTGGAAATAGTAATTATATCCATCCGGTCCATCAAGGTTGAACATCTCTTCGTCAGAGAAGACCACGGGTTTCTACTACTTGTTCCACGACATGTGTTGTCGGGCAAGTCGAAGTCGTGCTTCCTAACAAGCATCATTTTCATTCTCTTCAAGTTTTTGGCGCTTAGAATAACTCGTTTTATCGTGGCCACACTTACAATTACTCCGTATTCTCTCTTAATTTTACGAGCAGAAAGGTGGGAATTTGAGACAGTTCGGAAGATAAGTCGTGGTTCCGATGCCTTTGTTAAAATTTTTTTTTCTTTTATCCATATATTTTACATAGTCTGCTTTATTACGAAGAAAATTAGTTGCAACGTTTTGACATCGACCGATTTTCTTAGCTATCTCATGGTGTTCAATAAAAATTGATAGATACCTCATATTTCATAGTTCATAATTCTGACGTGAGTGAGGAGTCAACCGCTATGAGGACTCCACTCCCACGCCGGATAGACCGACCATACTGTGCACAGAGCTGGAAAAACATCGGAGCTCAGAATATCCGGCTGTAACACAATAATCTGAGAAGCAAACGAAAGACTATCAGAATACAATTTAGGAAGCTTACTACGTAAGCCTCTTGCATTATGATAGGAAATGGTTAGATAGTTAGTTGGTTCTTTGAGGCGGAGTTAGACGTTAAGGCGCAGTGGTCTGATCGGCCTTAGGAAGAGTTATTCCTTCAGACTGCTTTTTCTTCTTCTTAGCTTCGAAATTCTTGACAGCAATATACTCTGGCCAAATATTTTAAGGCAAATAGCTTCAAGGAGTTCATAAGGGACATTTATTTTGAAAGACATGTCCCTAGCATAAAAAAATTTGATTTTTTTTACCTTTATTTTTAATTGGTCTGCTCTGGTTTTACCTTGTATAAAGGCGAGAACATCTTCCGATGTTTGGGACTTTGAGGGGTCAATATTTGCGACGGTCCGGGCACTCCCGCTGCACATTCGGGTACCGAATCTTCTATAGCGATCGATCTCAGCACTCTTGGAATTAATGCTGAGGTCGAGGGCTGCGCCGAGGGAGGCTGCTGCTGAGAGCCCGTTGCAGGTAGTTGGGGTCCGTCTATATACTGCCCACCAATATCAGCTTTTTTTGCGCCTAGGAGTCTGATTTAATAGCGTAAGGTTATTAAATTGGGTATCCAACGCCAAGAACATTTCAAGAGTTTTGCGATAACATCTTGGAATAAGAAGTCTGTCCTCAGCGTGAACGTTTATTCTTCACGAGCTTAACTTGCCTCTCTTCTATTCCTCTCTCTTTTCCTCTCCCGCGAAACCGGGCCATCGAGGGTTATACCTTAATCACAAGGGTATGGCATCACCGATTCGCTAAAAATTTTGAACGCACTTAAGAGAGAACCAACAATTTGTTTTCAAAGAATTTTTTGTTTTCAAAGGAAAATAAACCTGCCTCGATAGCCGCCGAATAAGCCAGCGATTTATATATCAAATTTAATGAATATATGTTGAAAACTGAAAAAGTTATAATTTTTATTTGTATTAATTTCTCGATCGTTCCTTCGTTTCGTGATATAGTAGTTCGATTTTCAAAAATTTTTTAAACCAGTTTTACAAATAATACAAAAAGGAAATTTGTTAAAATCTTGTTGGAAAATGAAAAGTTATAATTTTTATCGACTAATTTTCCGATCGTTCGTATGGCATCTATATATCTATATGATATAATCATCTAATTTGGCCCATTGCGACTTATATACGAGTGATGAATATAGAAGACTAACTGCTAAGTTTCATTCAATTTTAAAACTGAGAGCATATTTTGCGTAGAAACAGACACACCTACAGACGGACATGGCTAGATCGACTCTGCTGTGGATGCTTCGTTGGAAACTTCTGACTGAACTTATAATAGCCTGCAAGGGTATAATAATTAACACGATTTTTTTAGTTATTATTATGTATAATATGCTTATAATTGCGGTAGACTAATGTAGATATCTTGCTATTTTTTTACTCAGAAGCGAGCGACTGATCTTCGATGCCGCTCCGCTCTTGGCTTTTCTGTCTACAGTTAACCGTAATCGCAAGCAATGCAAAGAAAATTACATATATGCGAGAGATCCCATATCTAAAAATTGTTACCGGTATCTTACCACTATAAGTACAACTTTTATTATATGCTTATCAGCCATGGTGCATATTTATTTTAAATTTTTCTTAAAATAAAACAAAGCACAACTGCTGTGGATATAGTGCATGGATTTCTAATGAATACCCTAAAGGTCCACAATCCTAAAATATCTCATTATTTGTTGATACTGAAGTCATTAGAAGTTACCTTAGATACTTTTTATCTTCTTTTGTGTTTTTTGGTGTACATGATTTCTCAAAAAATGCTCGACCAATTCTCTTCAAAATTTTTACACAACTTCTCTATAACATTCTTTATGGAATGACATAGGACTTTTTCGATACGATTTTTATACGATTACTGGGCACGGCAAGATTCTTGTAAGCAACCGTAAAATTACAAACGAAAAGACTGACTACATGATCGCGGTGTTGAGCTTCGGGAACGCATTCTCGACCACATATCCAACAAGGGAAGACTGGAGCAAGGACAAAATGGCAGTAGAGAACGAGGTTTTCCTCTACACCAATGGCTCAAGATGAGCTGCGGCGGACTGAGATCTAAGCTGAGAATTGGGGGATTGAAAAGGCATTCAATCTCTCGAACCCAGCGACGGTCTTTCAGGCTGAGTTACTAGCCATAAGGGAAGCAGTCGAACTTTCCTTAAGGCAGGACCTCAGGGGCAACAGAGTTCGAATCTACTTGGATAGCCATGCGGCTGTCAATTCCCTAGCCGCCGTGAAAACAAACTCGCGGCTAGTGGCAGAATGCGAGAAGGCCCTTAATAAACTTGCTGATAAAAATTAAGTACAAGTAACCTTGGTACCGGGAAACAACGAGATTCCGGGAAACGAAAAGGCAGACGAACTAACCCGTGTAGGTTCGGCAGGGCAAAGTACAGACTTCGAATAACCGATCTCCCTAAACGCGATCCAGACAAGATCCATGACCACTTCAAGCAAAGAACAAAGAATGGCTTAGTAAGAGCGAGCACAGGTCAAAAAATGTTGGCCGAGGTGCGACAAAAACGAACCGGTGAACAGCAAACACAGCAGGATCACGGCAGTCACCACGGGACATTGGGCGATCGGATCGCACGCAATGAAGATGGGACTGCCACACAATACAATATGTAGAAACTGCAAGCAAACTACATACCAAGAAACACCGGAACATCTGAAAGTTTCGGCATCTAGATTTCCTTACTGACTCTGGTTGGTACTGATAGTGATCAGGACCACCTCTAATTGGAGGCCCTAGTATCTAATGCACGACACAGGATGTTTTCAATATATTTATACCTTGCAGGGTATTATAATTTCAGTCAGAAGTTTGCAACGCTGTGAAGGAGGCACCTCCGACTATATAAAGTATATATATTCTTGATCAGGATCAACAGCCGAGTCGATCTAGCCATGTCCGTCTGTCCTTCTGTCCGTCTGTTCGTTTCTACGCAAACTAGTCTCTCAGTTTTGAAGCTATCTGAATGAAACTTTGCAGTTAGCCTTCTATATACTCTCACTCGTATATATGTCGGAACGTGCCGGATCGGACGACTATATCATATAGCTGCCATTGGAATGATCGGATAATTTTTACAAAAAAACTATAACAATTTCAGTTTTCAACAGAATTTGATCAAATTGAGATATAGCCATTTTGCTATACTCTACAATTTGTATAAAATTTTATGAAAATCGGACAACTATATCATATAGCTCCCAAAAACGATCGAGAAATTAAGACAATTAAAAATTATAATATTTTCTGTTTTCAACAGATTTTCATCAAATTTGAGGTATAGACATTTTATATCAGTCTTAAATTTTGTGTCAAATTTTATGAAAATCGGACGACTATATCATATAGGTGCTATAAAAACGATCGTTAGATGTGGTTAAAAATGCACACCAGTGACTGTAAAACTGCAAATATAATATGTAAAGGTGAATGAAATGAAAGCAGGTATTACTTCATT